TATATATATATATATATATATATATATATATATATAAGAAATCGAAAGTGAAAAATGTTGCTATCATTTGATCAAGTTAATGGACCACGACAGTGTCCTCTTTGAAGTCCGTGCATTTTCATGCATTTGCGCGTATTGAGGGCGAAACTCTTGTTGATCTTCAACTCAAATATAGCTAATGATCTGCTGCACTCGTGTAACTCTGGAGGAGTTTGTTTGACTTCCAGACAACAAGGATATCTGCAACCCATCAATTTTGATATGAGATTACCAAGCCTACATCAAATCGTGGGGTTATGATCCCGCGACAGGTCGTTATGTCGGTTGCGTCCACGGTGGATGCAGAGGCAATACAAACCGCTTTAAAACAATGAATGAATGCAGCCATACCTGTGCTAATACGTCCATGAAGAAGAAAAACTAAATTTACTCTGATCAAAAAATAGCTTTTATTTTACATCCTTTCCAAATGACACTAAATGAACCTCAATTCAGCACAAACTTATCTATCTTTGTCGATCCGGCTTCGTTTTAGAGGTATTGGCATTTCCCTGTCCTTTTAGCGGGTAGTGGGGCTTATTCAGATACACCTAGACTGACAAAGCAATTCCATTTGTTGGTTTAAACACAGCACGTAATAAACAGCACTATGGTGATGAACTAGAGCAAGGAGACACTTGGCATTGCGTCCAATGGCAGTGTTTGACCACCACATCATTGTTAAAGGTGGCTGGATATGTTTGCTCATAAGATCCCAGTTTTTTACTCTAGGTAAGATGCAATGCACGCTCACAATCGGAGCAAAGCTGGGTGAAAGACACTTCCTTAGTTATCCTGATCAAACTTTATATAAAATTGGCATAAAAGGCAACCTTCTTAATGGCCGTAACATTCTCTTTCTTAGGCTCGTTTCAAAGGCCGGTCAACTTCAATTACCCTCAACCAAGGTGATGTGGACTTTTAAGTAAATCAGCCTTATCTAATTCATGCCCTCTGCGGGTTTGCTAATGAAGAACATGCGTTAAAAGGTCGGACATAAGGATAGCCTGCCTTCCTGACCTTCCCTCATACGTCAACACGGTGAACTCCTTAAAGTTTGCAGTCAGTAAGCTGTGTACCAATCACGCATTGCTTTATTTACAAAACTGACTTATTTGGTGCCACAAATGCTACTTTACTGTGATTGCAGTTGCAAGTGATGCATAAATTCTTGAAAAGGTATATTTATAGGTAGAAAACCCTGTTTGTAAATAGGTGTTAGCGTCCATAATTTGTGTTGCAGAAGTTGATTTCACAGTAGCTGGCACTAGCTAACCCATTCAAAGCACGAAATCTTCTGTCGCCTTCACGAAGTATTAGCGGCCTGAAACCTGCTTATTCTTAAGTTGTTGTAAGGCAAATTCGACAGCGCCTGCCCGGACCAAGCTACTTAAAGGCTTGTAAGTAGCATCAGCATCTGAAGTGTTATGAGTAGAAAAAGCAAATTTACTGAGTAATTAGGGGAATGAAGCTTAAGCAGTCCTTAAACCTTCTTATTTAGCTGCAGATAACCTGTTCGCCATCATCCTAACACCTACCAGTTACGATCTGAGTGAAGTTTGGTAGCTGGGTATGCCAAAGAGAAAAACAAGTTAGTTTGATTAAACACTGCATATAAGAAATAGTGACAATCTTCTGCCCCATCCACACGTCTGTTGCAGAGCCTAAGTAATGCCTGGAAGGTGGCTCTGGTATAGGGAGCGCATTAGCACATCTGAACTACAGTAGTACTCCCCCCACGTTCGGAAATTAGCCAGCGTGAGCTAACCCTATGCAGGAGCACATGATCGCCTTCACAAACGCTTGCATTCTCTGTTGTCATTGAAAGCTGCGCATTCTGTGCTACTTTATCGTAGAATCAGACAATTCGTCTACCAATTTCTACAGAAATATCAACCGAATGCGTGAGTTAAGATTGTCATACGCAGAATTGTCACAGACATCTTCGCGCATTATCACTGTCAAACTAGTACTAGAAGTCTTAATCACGCACCCTATTCGTGTTGCTGTTAGTGTTGGTTTTTGCATTCGTGTTCCTGCACATGACCCTGATCCGGGCACGCCCCTCTCTGCTTCCTGAGGTCATCATTGAAGGCGCCTAAATGGATCCTAGAGTAGCTCACCTCCACGCTTGTGCTCTAGCACTCACTGCTGTGTTTTTCCCACCACACTTACCTTTTTACGCTTATAAGATGGGATGGGAAGGAATAGGAGATTTAGACTTGGCCTCACTAGGTGAAAAAAAGCCTCCGTTTAAGGTACAAAAGGATGGAATGAGAAAAGGTAGAAGCACAGATCTTCTTGTCGAAACAATGCAGGAGTTTATACGACTGACAAAATTTGTGCAATATTTCATGGAGGATGGCAAATAAACAACAATGGCGTGCAGAAATCAGATGTGTGACCTTGGTCAGCGTCAAATTTTTTAAAGTCGCTTAACAGAACGAGGTACTAAACTCCACAAATCCAACCACTGCCCTTCTGGTACTCACCTATTTATTATGTATCTATGCGATATTCGTCCATCCATCTATCCATTAACCCACTCCTTACCCAAGCATTCATTAGTACCCCTACCCACCATGCCATTAGTTGTCGTGTGTAGGCGGCGTGAATGTGAACCTGCCACTGAAACTGGTTGAATTCGGCCACTGCTTAGCACACACCCCGAGATGGGAGACGAGCCTACCACTGCATACCTAAAAAGGCTTCCTATTGGTCTACTGTGGCTCCTATTATGTGTACGTAATCATCCCCGCTCCAGACAGACTGATGAGAGGCTTCCTGGGAATATAATTGGCATTGACTTCACAGTTTAGAGTTACACGTTTGTCCACCCATCTAAGTACACTATAGGGGACATAAATGAAGACTTCAAATCCTCAAGTGGTTGTTTAGGAGGCAAGAAGGCAATTTATGAGACGAGCTTCTTTGCATTTAACAGACCACACAACCCATTTTGATGGCGATACTTGGGTCAAGTATGAGAAAGCACCTTATTAAAATACTATAACAGATAAATGTAGACACTTGGGCGCTAGGATGAGTACGTGGTGAGTCCAGATTGTGGGAGAATTCGCCCACATTGGGTTACGCTGATGGCAACCCAACAGTGAGGAACAAGCACTTTCCTCATTATATGGGTCTATTTGTTTGTTCCACAGTTTCACCTCATTTGTATTCATAAATTGGGAAAAAATCGTAGAAATTTAGACTTTGGCGGAAAAGCGCAAATTTAGGCGTCAAAGAAGAGGGCCTCGGATCTATCTTGTTGGAGTGTGGAGAAGCTCAACACAAAGGCCCATTAAAAGCCACGTCAATGCTCAACTGCAACCCCGGATAAGGATTCTGCGTAAAGACCAGAAGTAAAGTGGTTAGGTTATGGTGAATAGACTGGTAGGGCCAACGTTTGGTTACTGTCAAACATGTCATCACTTCAGTTTGTTTGGCTCGGTTGGGTTTGGGGGCAAAGACATTGGCATCACCTTTGCTGTCAGCATGCAACTTTATGTACTAGGCATCTTCCCTTTGTCCGCTGATGTACTCTTAATCCAACGCACATTCAAGAGCGCGCTACTCAGGCCACAAAGTGAGGAGTGACTGCCGGTGTCTTGAAAAGGTTTAGACTAAAATATGGGACAACATCGAATGATTTTATAAGCAGGCACTGATCGCCAATTCATGTTTTCTTGATTATTTTAGGCGCATCTCAAATGCCACTGATGCCATTCATATTTGCCAGTGTTCAGCAAAACTATGGGCAACAATCTACGAACTTCGAATAAAATTGATGTAATGTGTCGGGCTTTCAGGCGTCAAGAATATCTGCATCATTCCAATCGACGTGGAGCCCTTCCAATCCCGCATCAAGGTGTGGAGCTTCCTGCACCACGAGAGCCTTAGATCATTGCTCCATTTTTTTGGATCTACTCCTTCGTTTCTAATTTATACTCTATGTATCACGTCCATCTTCTTCGCCTCTTCATTTTACCACTTAAGATGCGGCTTGGTAACAATGGCTTCTCCCCCATAGTTTCCAGCTTTTTCGCCAATAGAGATGACGATCTGTGGCTCATGCATTGAACTCCACCACTGCATGACAGACATGCAATCTGATCAGTAATTTTGCCTGCGAATTGTCCCATTTTTCGATGTTCCTACGAATCATAAGGGAGTTATTTTCCTCCAAATGCATCCTCGACGCAAGACGGAGTGTCTGATATATTTGAATAAAATATAATAAAACTGTATTTGCCAATTTGAATGAAGTCATCTCTTGCATTCCATGCTTGAAATTAGTTAAAGTTAGTTGTTTCATGCAAGGGAACCAGTTTGTCTTGCGTTGCCTCACTTTATGTGACAAAACCTCAGTCCAACTCACCTTACCCCACCTTGCCTTGTCTTGCCAGGTTAGGGGACATGACCAAGGGTACATTGTATCACATCGAGTGCCACAGGAGATTTGCTACCATATAATACATCGTAACCGACTTTCCGCGCGAAATTCTCTCTGATTTGAGGCCTCGAATTTGGTCTCTATCCTTCACCCATAAACTTGAGTGGAAGAACAATCTGCTTAGTGTTCAATAACCACCTTCCGACCTAATCGAATGTCACCGAACCATCCCACATGCACTTACACACGTGTTGAATTTTCTTTTCAATTTCGACACTGAAAGTAAAGGTACAATGGCTGAAGGAGAAAAATCCCTCATCTTTGAACGAATTGCCACACAATTGCTGTGACGTGCCAATAACCACGTGATATATTTCCCTACTGGTGAGAACTAACCTCCCAAAATGGCCTATCGAAGCGAGATATGAAATGATTAAAAAGAAATTATGCATAGCTTCCCCTGTCTTGTTTAACAGCCATCATTGCAACATGTTTCTATCTCTTTTAAGCCTCATTGTTAGCTCTGCGTTTTCTACTGCAACCGTGATAACAAAACAAATCAAATGGATGGTTCAAACTAAGTTCATGACACGTGACACTCGCTATTGTTTACCATGGCATGTTTTCACTTTCAACGGAGCAGTAAACTGCATCCACTTGTTACTACGTGGTCCTTGAATGACCTTCAGTGTTTACTGTGAGTGTATCATTTGGTGCTGCATCTCCACCAAATGTTCGAAGTAAAAATAAACGCAAATCGGATCAGCTTCTTTCAACCACATTTATACCCTTTCCAATCCTACCCTATGATACGTCATGACATGGCTTGATGTGGCAAGATATGGAGGCACGAAAATAGTGTAGCAAGGCGTCGCAAAAAACGCAATAGCTTTGCAGGTCACCTCATTTAGTAGCCACATTAGGCTGTTTTATTACTTCACCTTTTCAGGATAACAATTGGACATAGATTCAGTGTTTTAACCTCGGTTTATCTGTTAGTCAGCATAACTAATCATCCAGCCAACGAAAAACATGGTAGAACATCCGACAGGTATGTGTGCAAACCTGAGAACTTGCTGTGATGAGCCACATGAAAAGAGAACACCGCATATGCCTACCAACCTTATTTATGAAGTCGCACTGAGACAGCTAACAATCCTTTCAGCTAAAAGGATCAATTTAGTCCTAGTCCGCAATGGTCAATGGCAACTTACCTAACAGCATCACACATTGCTTATTCAGAGAGATTTTTTTCTCTATCGGCTCCGCCCTAATAACCAAAACGAGAGGCTCTGTATATCATTCCGCAAGGTGACGTTCAAGCTCTCCTCCGGTGATTCGTCAAACCGCAAAGATGGATATGAGTAAAGATTGGACGAGATGTTTACAAGCACGACCCTTTCTACTCAGTATACTTCCATCATCCTGCCATTTCCTTTCGACTTGACACTAGTGCAATCATGCATCAAAATCAAATAGCATTTGTGTAAGGTACTTTAGCCTAACCTCGTGACTTGCATTGCAAACCATGGCCTAGAACTACCAACCGCATCCCCTAAGACCTGTTTACTTGACCCAATCAAATAAGCACTGGAGGATTACATATAAAAGGGGAAGTGTGCATTGACAACAAACCGAATGAAAACAATACCAGTTTGCGTGGACAATGATCGCCCTTTTGCCTCTCCTGCTACTTTGTGTTGCCAACCTCAGCCAAGGTAAGTGAACAGCTATTCCTGTGTGCTGTTGATCCTTTCGCTATTCTCCTCCACACCTACTTCAAGTGAAGTGACGTTTGGACCCACTATACATTAACTACACTGTGAGACCAACCCTGATTCTGTAGTAGTATTTTCAAAAGGAGGAGTACGTTGCTGCCCGAAATATGAGAAAATTCGCCTATATTTGATTGATTACTTATGATTAAAAACAGTACCTTGTTTAATGTCCTTTCGCTCCCATGGATTCACTGGTATCTCTGTAATTCTTAAGTGAATGCAGTGGAATATGGCTGCAATTCAGGCGAAGAGGATGTCTGCAACCTACCAATGAGAACTGGACCCTGCCTAGCCTACTTCAGAGTGTGGGGCTATAATCGCGCATTGGATCGATGTGAGAGCTTCATCTACGGTGGTTGTGGAGGCAACGCTAACCGTTTCAAAGAAAAGAAGGAATGCGAGCGTGCTTGTGTTAAAAATTTGCACTTATAGAACCATAAACTTCTCTCTGATCATATTGTAGCTAAAAAATACTTGCCCTTCTGTTGACACTAAATAAAGGCACCTAAATTTACCAAAAGATATTCGTAATTTTTGGCACCAATCGAGACATGGAAGTCCAAAGAGGGAGGCCGTCAAATAAGACGTATCATTTTCATTAACACCCCTACGGGTAAACAGCGTGGTTGCGTAAGAAATCAGCACTTTATCCTCAATCACTGAGAAAATTGAGCCAACTTGAAGTCTTCATGTGTTACATCTGCTTGACTACTTCCACTCAATCGTGAGTGTTAAAGGTGCTTCTCTAATACCGCTGACACCGCTTCGACTGTTGATACTACCCATTTACATTTCTGCAAAATTCAAGTGACTGTGATGCAATTTTATTGGCTACCAGGCAATACGGCGATCCGCCACAGTCCAATTTTACCCAGACCATTCATGCCAATGTAAATTAATAGGGGTCTACTTCAAAATCACATCACATTCTGTGCATTTTACTGCCGACGGCTGCGGTAGTAAAATATCTGGAATACTGAAGTTCATGTTGACTGAGGCAATATGTACGGACGAGGCTCGCGTTGGGTCACCCAACTTCTTCTATCGTCAGTCATCGCAATATAACAGAACATGGCAATACATCAGCTAAGAAATGATCAAGCAAAGCGAAACACCAGACAGTCCTCAGAATTGTCATCAAGTGGAGTGGCTCAGCCAGAACAACATTCGACACCTAGTGAAACCTTGGCACACAAAGGGAATGATGCAACTCCATCAAAGGCAGGAATTCTGCCTTAGGTCGATTTGTACTAAGAGGTGAATAAAAACGGCGTAGTCCATGACGATTTGGGATGGGATGGACCTGCCACGGCGTCCATAGTAGACGAGTATGCCACCTTTAGATCTATATGATCAACGCACCTAAAGACCCCTACTCTGGCCATGGTAAAGAGAGACATAAGTCAACTACCTACTGTTGAAAGTCCACGCAGAGAGCACTACATGTGGCTATTCACGATATGGCAATTGCATTACCACTGGAGCACAACAAAGTGTCCTAATGATTGGGTGGGTGAGGATAGATAAGTAGGTGGATGGTTATGCTAGTGGGTAGGAAAACGAATTGTAATGTGGAAGGATGGATGGGTGGATAGATGGATACGGGAATAATGAAATGTCCTACCTCGTTTTCATTTACTCCCTTAGAAATTAACAAGATGACAAAACTTAATCATCTTATTTCTGCATGCCGAATTCATCCATTTACTATCTACCACGAAACATTGCACAACTTGTGACAGTAGTGTAGGACACTGCATTGTTTAGCCAAGTAGATTCATTACCTATCGCCTTCAAGAGATGACATTCAATCCTGCGTCAGGAATTGCTATACCTCACCAAGAGCACACTTTCTTTTAAGATTGCTACATGTATCGCTTATTATGGATAAAGTGTATAAACCGCACTTCAAAAGCCCTACTTTCTTGATCCAACAAAACAAACACTCGCGAATTGTGTATATAAGGGGAAGGGTGCTTTTACACAAAGCAAGGTGACTGCTCCACTGCATCGCAATGACCAAGCTCGCACTTCTAGCTCTCATGCTGTTCTGTGTTGCCAGTCTCAGTCAAGGTGAGTGGACAACTTCTCTTGTGTCCTGTGTGTCGTTTTGTTTGTCTTCACTTTGCCGCCATCCAGTAAAGTGTTCATTGGACTCACCAATCACCACTCAAGTCTAGACATGACGGCGTGATATCAGCTTCCTTTGTTGGGACGTATGCGCATATGCACTCGTACATATGCTTTGAAATGTCAGGCTTGCAGGGATGTCAGTGCTTCATTACAATATCAACAGAAAAGTTTAGCCTTCTCTTTTCTAATACCTATCTACTTTTCACTTTAAACCCCTACTCTTTACTTTCAGCCTTGAGAATGTAGCTTAAGGAGGCGCATGAGGTACTTCATCATCCATGGTGTATGTCGTGCTGACAGCCTGATAAGCTAATTGATACAAAACGGTATAGACGAATCAGTAGACTGGGTACTTGCCATTTTGGTGGAGATTGCTGGAGCAGATATGGAAGAAGAACTTAGTCGCTGACATGTAACCGACACCAAAGAAAGAGATGGTAGTAGGAAGCGTACGCGGTAAGCCCGAAATGTGGAGGGATTAGCCCGCCTTTGGTTAAGTTCTGCGGATCCATGACAATGCTTTGTATGATGTCTGCCTACTTCCACGCATTGGTCAATATTTCAGGTGCATCTGCCACACCGGTAACACTACGCATGGTTTTCGAGGTTTAACACAAATATGAATATTAACCTGTGAAGTTCGGATAAAATTGGTTTGGCTTTTAGGTAAGGAGGATATCTGCAGCCTACCCATTCGGGTAGGAATCTGCCGATTCCGCATCAGTGTTTGGGGCTTTGATCCCAACAAAGGTCAATGTGTCAATTTTCTCTACAGTGGATGCATGGGCAACGCCAATCGCTTCGTAGATCGGAGGGCCTGCGAACGCGCCTGTCTTAAATCTTCATCATCGAACAAGCACTAACTTCTCTCTAATCAAAGCATAACTTGCTAAATGCATGCCTCCCATTGTCGCTAATTCAATAAACCTGAATTTATGAGACGTTTTCCTTCCTTTTCCATTTGGTCTAGTTTCTATCGTACTATCATTTATCTCTGCCCTGCCAAAGTGTAGCAGGTGTGGGGATTCACTGGTTGTTTTGGGTTGACCATGTAGCAGATGAGACTTTGTGGTGAAGCGAAGGAGGGAGGCACTTCGCCCCGAGGCCCAAGAGAGACCTACATAACTACTACATTATTGGGGGTCGGTAGAAGTGGTAGTGTTTATAGAAAGCCTAGTTATCTGCTCGAGGTAATATCGAATGCCTGCTCAGAAGCAGAGTGGAGAAGAGTGATGTGTCAAAACATTTACTCATCAGTCTGTTAGGCACCAGAATGTCATTCTCCTCCGAATGCCACCTCCACACCATGCCGGACAGCTGACGCATCCCAAATGAGCAAGGATAAACACGAGGTAGCCAATTTAAATGAAGTCATCTCTAATGTGCCTAACGCTAGAGCAAGAGTTTGAAAAGAATTAAAAGGTGTCCATACACTTATTCAACGAATCTACTTTGCCTCACTTCATGTTCCAACTCCTCATCTCATCTCACCGGACACCACTTCACCTTGCATTGCTTTCCCATGCTCGAGCGCATACTCAACAGTACATTGTACCAAATTTTTCTTACAGGAGTACCGCTATCATAAGATATATTGTAACCAACTATCTGCGAAAAATCCGCCCTGTTTCGAAGCCTCGAATTGGGATTTCACGTGTCACCCATGACTGTAACTGGGTGAGCAATCAGCTTGGAGTAGAATGGTCACCTCCCACCCTAAGCAAATATCACCAAATCATCCACTGGAAGCATAGGCAGAAGTGGTAATTCCCTTTCATTCTCAACACTGGAGGTGGAGATATAATGGCTGTGGGAGAGTAATCAATCGCATTTATACAATTTTCTTAGGTATCATAGGGATGTGTCAATGCTAACTAGTAATATTTCATAACTGGTAAGAATTGAGTATCCGGAAAGGCCTACCAAAGCGAGATCTAAGATCTTTGCAAGAGCTAAGGCACATGACTTCTCCTATCCAGTCTAAATGCCATAATGGGAGGCTTTACACTGCAAATGGCACTCCTGTCATCGTTTATCTTAGCATATTTTCACTTGGAATGGGATAGTAAACTACATCTAATGGATGCGCTTTGGTCCACTAATGGCGACTACCCTTTACTAGGGTTGGACTATTTATTGCCGCCATGAGTTGCGTAGTCTCCAAATACTATGCAGTCATTATTATCACACTCTTCTGCCACTTTGAAAGTCATTTTGTATTTTTTACAAAAATAAATGTAAATTGGTTTAGTCCCTTTTGAGCCCGATTTGCACTCATCCCTCCCTATCATACGGCATGAAGTGAAACTTGATCACGTCATTTTGCCAGCCTATTAGCCACTTAGCCAACCAACAAGACCAATCATTCAACAGCACATGAAACAAGAGGCACGACGAAGCGGCTACATTCAATTTGATATCTCTAACATGTCACAGTGATACTTTGGGGTTCTGCTGACTTTTCAACAGTCGCGGCATGCGGCGGAGGGAGGACAAATTTCTGCGAAACACGCAGTTTTTGGTGTTGCACTTTCAAAAGGCAAACAGGCGGCGACCGACATGGAAGATGACTTGCTGCTCTCGTGGACAAATAACCAACGTCTTCAAAGTTTACACTGAATCTCGTTTGAAGTGTTTCCGTCTACCCCTTCATTTTTCAAGTTAGAACAGAGCATTTATCCTGTTTAAACACAATTTGACAGGTGGGCGTGTCAGAAGCGTTGGCTTTACACAAAGCCGTATTTTCACCGTCGATGGGGATGCCGCACAGCGTTGGTCATGAAAATTATGTGTGACCCTCCCTGAGTTGAGTCTTAAATACAGATGGTTCCTAATTTGTCAGTTCCATTTACTTAAAAGGGGTTGTTTCCACTAGTTGCTCTCAAATGTTACCTCGTCAAACCACGGCGTCGCATCGTTGATCGCTAATGTCACCATCGGTCACTGGTTGTTTAAATGAATCGTATGGTGTACTTGTGACAAAAAATGAATACAGAGGAAGCGTGGTTGGATAACTGCAACTATATCCTAGTGCTCTACGTACCCCTGTAATCAGGCCACTTCCACGGCTCTATATCTGGTAGCTTCAGCAGGAGGCACTCCAGCATGCCTATGGTAGCAACGCCAGTGAGTGACAACAGTGGTGAAACCAACACTCTTACCCGTACCTTGGTAATCAGGCTGTTTTCACAAAATGGTATATTTTAGAACTTTTTAATTTGAACAGTTTCGGGTTATTTTATCCTTAAACACTTCTAACTTTTTAGTGGAAAATAAGAAAAGGTGGCAAAGAGCTCGCTTGTGACGCATATTTTCCTCATTTACCGCTTCCATATCACACGAAAAATAGACAAGTGGGTGCGACTTGAATTTGCCCGAATCGCACACCAGTTTTGTGTTTTGAGCTGCCAACTACTCCTGTCTGTGTATGAGACAGCAGTGCTCAGCATAAGGACTAGGAAGAAACACTAAATGGAGTTGTTGATTTCATACATGCCAATATTGGGGCTGGTAATCAGTCCTTTGGGGCTCAACATCTGGAAAGAATTGACTTGCATCACAAATATTTTCCTCACCAATTAGAATGTCTCTCCACATAGCACGCATATTTCTAAACTCAAAAGTCAACTGTTTGGTGTGAAAATGCTGATTGACAAATTCGGACTCAGCACAGTGGAATAAGTGGAGTTCTTGTACACCAGACTGCATCATGTAGGAATTTGTGCGGCGATTTCACCTCGCTCCCATTAGGCCTAATGGTGAATATGATGAATTAAATTCTCCAGTCTTTCATGAAGCGGTTTTCTAGCAATGCGTTCGGTGAGGTGTTTGGTCGAAGCACAGCGCATAAATCTGCCACTGGTGGGTCCACGTGTCCGACTTTCGTTTGTCATCGATGTGTCAGTCTCAATAGTTATGTGTGACGCAAAGGACGAAAGAAACGACGACTGAGAGACGAATGATCAAGGTGTATGTCGAAGGTGGAACACTAGAAATGACTACGACGACTCTGACTTACACTTCATTCACCCCAATCTAAACTATTTCAACTAGATGAGCCAGTGAGCCGCGACTGCCAATCCGCTTGAAATGAGCACGAAGAAGCCCAGACATCGACAAGTCGTATAGCCCCAAGTAAAACGAAACAAGCTCAGGGGGTGAGGTTGTTCAAACTTTCGTGGCATTTAAGCAGAAAGACTGAGCTTTTTCCAACCACCAACATGAACTGCTTGCTATATTTATAGATGGATAAGTGATTTAACAACTGATAAAATGTGAGAGTTGGGTTGATACACACATCCACGTAGCTAAAAAATGCATTATCACCTGGCGATCAACGTACAAATGCACACACACACTCACATCGATGTCGGATTCGTGCATGAGAAAGCCCCGATGCATGCGACTGATATCTTACTGCCATCATCATCACCATCATCATCATCACTTAGGAGCATCAAATGCGGAATTAGCCTAGGGTTGTGAACAAGAAAACACTGGTAGGGTTAGTGGTGGTTGAGAGGAAGAAAACCCGATGGGTAAAAATCATTAATGCCTGGAAAAACTGCGTCTTCACCGGGCACCGAGACATCACAAGCTGCCTTCATTGCCTCAGTATCGTCAATGCATTTGATAGCCTTCTTGAGCATTCTTGAAAGCCATACCGCCACATCTTGATGGGATTTGCTTTACGGAATAACTCAGTTCAAGTGGATTTTGTGGTTAGAGAACAGTTACACGATTATGCCAAATTTGTTTTCTTTCTGTGATGCACTACAGCCAAGTACTCTTGAATAACCCAACTTTGGTGGAATTCGGCAAGCCGACGACTTGTCTACTTTAGCTTCCTCTTCGTTACTCACAGTTGTGCACAAAAGAGAACAGCACTTCAGAAATGGAATCCTTGTAAAGTGTGAAGTACAGCATCACAGAATGCAACCGGAAACATAAATATTGCGTCAACTTTCCATCATGGATAATAAAATAGCAAACATTAGTCATCATGCTTATCCTATACCTACTATTTCTTGAGTATTTTTTAACACTACCATTTATTTAGTCAGTAGCTATAATTTGCGTCCTTTTAAAAATAATTTTATACCTTATTGAGCTGTGTCTAAAAGAGTGTCTACGTGCAGGTGAAATGATTATACCAACCCCTATGTGCAACTTTTCATAGTAGCGCACATCTCCTTTCGCATAGACAGCATTTTCGCTTGCTTCAAATGCAAAATCACTTTGACTCTGCACTACGCATCTCATCGCATCACATCACACCTCAGCACAATACACCACACCGCCTCACTGCACAGCTTGTCACATCAATCCACTTAACTCGACTAAAACACCGCAAGTGACTGAATGCTTGAAAACAGGTCAATAAAGTGTTAGTTTGAATCACACAACTCTATTATACACAATGTCACTGTCTACCACAGGCCTTATGAAATACCTCGTTGTCTGAAGGCTGAGGGAGAATTGGAAGCGCCTACATCGTGAGCAACTACTTAAAATATTAGGCCTCTAATTCTCCATGAAGCTTACTGTAGGAGGTAAATTGAGAAGACATATTTTGTCACAAGAGGAGAAACCGGAGTTGCTTTGCTTGATTACTCAAATCATATGCTTTGTAACCACACGAGTGCCCATCCGTGTGCCACCAATGTGTGGAGTAACCAACAATGTCACCACGGTGAAGTCTTGTTTATCCAAGAATTTAGACCATCGGTTCGCCTGAAAGTCAATAAATTCACCTACACTCACCCGAATTCGCAAATGAGTCACCATAGCTGTTTCTAATTTTAGTAATTAGTCACTTTAGAAAACTAGTTAATTACTTACATTTAACGTCAAATAAATGTATTCACCACTCAACCCATTTTCAACAGTGAGATCATGCACTGGTTACAGATGGTTTCCAACTCTGCAGTCATCGAAATGTTATTCAGCACAAAATGAGGTGATGAGATGACCCACCTAGAGAGTTAGCGGAACAATTAGTGAGTCTACAGAGGTCCGTGCGTTGTTCGTTTTAATCTAGCCTCTTGGATGGCTTTTCAAATTGGTCCGCGACGCAGCAATCATTGATGCATATGGATATCTACTGGTGTCAAGTATATCGTCACAAGTCATCCAGCATCTCTTTATGATGGCAAGCATTTGAACTGCAAAATAAAAGAGAAAGAAACTTCTTGCCAAAACATTTCAGAGTATCATACGAATGACAAAATATGTCATGATTCACAATGAGAAGCAAGTAAAGGTAAATAAAGTGCAGAAATCTTACGATTGGCATAAAAAATTGCGATTTTGCATGCACCCAGGAGACGAGGACTGAACAAGAGCCCCACCCAAACACCCACTTCTCTACGTTCTAGAATATTCAGATATTAGGCATTTCTAACAATGGAACTTGTAAGCACTCAAATAAGGAGGTGCATTTGGGTTTTCACACACGTCATCGCCTGAGCACTTTAACTAATCAGAACATCATCTTGTAGGAAAGTCAGCACTGGTGATTTCTAGTGCCGACTTGTCGTCATTGTGATCCAAGACTTAACCCACCGAACCGACGCCTTGGTATATATGTTGGGTTATCCCAGATCTCTTCCGCCATTTGGAGGTCGCATCGCTTTCTGGAAGGTGTCCATAAGTGCACCCAATGATAGGGTAACGTGTTAAGCTGCTGATTCCTCAGTTTATCACAGTTGCATTTAGTTATGATGCCTCATGCAGTGCTCTTTTCAATTTCAGCAACGAATAAGACCTTACTGCATTTGAGTCAAATCCAGTTGACAAGCTGCTAATCATGTCTTGGACAATCATCACGGATGGAGATGGCATTGGCAGTTGTGAGTCTCACCCAGATTTGCGGTTCATGAACATTGGAGACGTTGTCCGATCTGGGTGCCATCGATTTGTTGACCGAGAGCGGCTTACTTTGCATTATTACTGCAACTAGTGCTTCATGGTTTGGTATGGAAGCGTCCGTTGCAGTTCTGTCAGTAGAAACCTGTCCAAGACATCAGCAGTCACCTCTCCTTTCGTAATTTCGGTGGTGCTCACTTGACTGTATCGACATGGGAGTGGAGAACAGGGGAGACAGAACAATGGTGGCATACTGACAGAGGTGGTGATGCAACCATTTTTACCTCCAAACCTAACTAAGGCAGACTAAACGAAATTGATGACAAGCTTGACGTTGATCAAACGTTGGCTCCGTTAAGCTCATCATTGTCGCCTAATCAAGCTATTTTTGATAGTTGCACCAAAGTCAAATTTGGGGCAGCTGTCATTTGTTGATGCGGCTTCAATAGGTCCTTGTGTTGGGCTTCTTCACAGCCTCTGTATGATGAAGCAGACGCCTTACTCCTAGACACTTAGATTCGCCACTTATCCACTGTAATCACAATTTCCAAATTCTTCTCACCTCAGAAACGCAAATTAAATGGAGCTATGAAGTCAAAAAATGGCGAAATGTGGCGCAATTTTAGGCATGCCAATAATGTAACCAAATGAGGGGTATTCTTTCACATTTCGTGTGTAACACGTACCCCATCTAGGATTGAGAACAGATCCTACTTATAATTAAAACTGACAACTTTCAAGCCTGTACTTAACTTACCTGTACTTTTCAGCAAAATACTTGAATCTAACTTTGTGATGCATATCTATTATCATGACTTGAATCTAGACTCCACTTCACAGGACTTGTTCTCTTGAGCCAATCAAATAAGCACTCGTAGACTGCGTATATAATGGGAGGGTTGCTTTCACACAAAGCGAGTTGACTACACCACCGACTGACGATGACCAAGCTCCTTCTTCCAGCTCTCATGTTGCTTTGTGTTGTCT